TGTAAATAACGCTTATTGCTTGCTTATTTGCTGGTGGTCATTCATTAGTTGAGTCTACTTTGTGTCCAAAATTAGGAGAAATCTTTTTTTGGGTGAATAATTCCCAAAAAGTTTGCATTTGCCAGAGAGGCACTCAAACAGAGAGATAGATATATTCCGAAAGATAAGTTTTTTTTTTTTTCTCATAAAAAAATCTCCATAATTTTTATTTGTCTTTCTTCTCAATGAGCTGATAGAGATAAGCCACCAAAGGGTTTGGATTCTGCATAGTTTTGGAATAAAAAATTCATTTTTTCCCCTAAAATCAATTTGGGTTTTCGTTTTTTTTTTGTATCAAGCTTATTGGCAAAAGCTTTTAGGCCAGTGGGTTTTGAGAGAGATGTCTGGTTCAGGTTCTTGTGGTGGTAGTTGTAGTATTGTATGGTTTAGAAGAGATCTTAGGGTTGAAGACAATCCAGCTTTAGCTGCAGCTGTAAGAGCTGGTCCTGTAATTGCAGTGTTTGTATGGGCACCAGAGGAAGAAGGACACTATCATCCAGGTAGGGTTTCTAGGTGGTGGCTCAAGAACAGTTTGTCTCAGCTTGATTCTTCTCTTAGAAGCCTTGGCACTTGTCTCATCACCAAGAGATCTACTGATAGTGTTGCTTCGCTTCTTGAGGTTGTTAAATCCACTGGTGCTTCCCAGATCTTCTTCAACCATTTGTATGGTCTGTGTTCATCTTCTTCCCTCTCTTCGTCTTCCAAATCTTTGTGTTTCTAGATTAAAGATGTCATTTTTGTGATTGGAATGATCTCTACTCTTGTTGGCTATGTTTTGCTTATGTATACCTTATTGGTTTATATCATGTGATCTGAATATGAAGATTTTTGATCCAATTATTGTATACTAGTTTGCTTAGAAGCATCTCATGTATGTGTTGACAATAGTATCCACTCTAAGAAGATGAAGTTTGAATCTTTCAGATCCCTTATCCCTGGTCCGTGATCACCGAGCTAAGGACGTTCTGACAGGGCAAGGCATAGCGGTTAGATCGTTCAACGCGGATTTGCTTTATGAGCCTTGGGAAGTGACTGATGAATCAGGACGTCCTTTCTCCATGTTTGCTGCCTTTTGGGAAAGATGCCTTAGCATGCCTTATGACCCTGAGTCTCCTCTTCTCCCACCCAAGAAGATCATTTCAGGTTTGTTTCTCAGCCAACAATCTCTTATGGCTTCCCCAAATCTCCATTATCCACTCTGATTCCTCTTATGTTGCAGGGGATGTGTCGAAATGTATCTCGGATACGTTGGTCTTTGAAGATGAATCAGAGAAAGGAAGCAATGCACTTCTTGCTCGTGCTTGGTCTCCGGGCTGGAGTAATGGTGATAAAGCTCTCACAACGTTCATAAACGGACCATTGATTGAATACTCTAAGAACCGCAGAAAAGCCGATAGTGCAACAACCTCGTTTCTTTCTCCACACTTGCATTTTGGGGAAGTGAGTGTGAGAAAAGTTTTCCATCTTGTTCGGATCAAACAGGTTGCATGGGCAAACGAAGGAAACCAGGCTGGGGAAGAAAGCGTTAATCTTTTCCTCAAATCGATTGGTCTCAGGGAATATTCTAGATACATAAGCTTTAACCATCCATATTCCCATGAAAGACCACTTCTTGGTCATCTAAAGTTCTTCCCTTGGGCTGTGGATGAGAACTATTTCAAGGCCTGGAGGCAAGGCCGGACCGGATATCCATTAGTCGACGCTGGGATGAGAGAGTTATGGGCTACCGGTTGGTTGCACGATCGCATAAGAGTAGTTGTTTCAAGCTTCTTTGTTAAAGTGCTTCAGTTGCCATGGCGATGGGGGATGAAGTATTTCTGGGACACCCTTCTAGATGCGGATTTAGAAAGTGATGCTCTTGGTTGGCAATACATAACTGGTACTCTCCCAGATAGTCGGGAGTTTGATCGCATAGATAACCCTCAGTTTGAAGGGTACAAGTTTGATCCGAATGGGGAATACGTAAGGCGATGGCTTCCAGAACTTTCTAGACTTCCAACAGAATGGATACATCATCCATGGAACGCACCTGAATCCGTGCTTCAAGCTGCTGGTATCGAGCTTGGATCAAACTATCCTCGACCAATTGTAGGATTAGATGAAGCCAAAGCACGGCTTCAGGAAGCGCTTTCACAGATGTGGCAACTAGAAGCTGCTTCAAGAGCTGCAATAGAGAACGGATCCGAAGAAGGACTTGGAGATTCTACTGAGGTGGAGGAGGCTCCTATCGCGTTCCCCAGGGACATCACTATGGAAGAGACTGAACCAACTAGACTCAATCCAATCAGGAGATATGAGGATCAGATGGTTCCAAGCATTACGACTTCTTTGATCAGACCTGAAGAGGATGAAGAGTCATCTCTGAATTTGAGAAATTCAGTAGGAGATAGCAGGGCAGAGGTTCCGAGGAACATGGTCAACACCAACCAAGCTGAGCCGCTGAGAGCAGAACCGGCTTCAAACCAAGTCACTGCTATGATTCCAGAATTCAATATCAGAATTGTTGCAGAAAATACTGAAGACTCGACAGCAGAATCTTCCAGCAGTGGAAGAAGAGAGAGGGACGGAGGCATAGTCCCCGAGTGGTCGGGGTACTCGGAACAGTTTGCTAGTGAAGAAAATGGGATTGGAGGAGGAAGTACAACATCTAGCTACTTGCAGAATCACCATGAAATACTGAACTGGAGACGGCTTTCACAAACTGGGTATGTAACTTGCAGATCAAACTTTCAGCAATAAGTTAAGTTAATTCATTTAATTGTTTTCAAATTCGAACTCTTTATGTTACTCAGTGGACTGAAGTTAAAAGTTCAATCTTCCTAAATAATGCAATGACTGAACATAAGGCTTTCAGGATCCTAATTTTTTTTACCGGCTTGGCACTTGGTACACTTGTTTAACCAAAGTATTAATAGTTTTAAATTGAATGGGATGAATGTATCGACTGTTTTCGAATCGATATGTTTACATTTTCAGTAGACCACAGGTTAAACTGTTAAAGGTTCAATCTTACTAAAGAATTCAAATCAAAGCTTTTATTTTTACAGTTCAATTGGCACTTGGTACACTGGTCTATCTAACCAAGTGGTATCAATTTTCACAGGTAAAAAAGGCAACTGGAGATGCAAAGGAGAGGAACTTCATAAGGGCCGTAACTCCGTGGACAGTAAACTGAGTATACATTTGGTATCGGTTTAATGTATGTATTTCCGGTTATGGGGCTGAAGAGAAACTATGTAGGAGCTTATTTGATGTACATTTTTTATATATCTGGTTCCATCTTGTTATAATATACTGTATAGTAAGTATCTTGCTTGTGGTAATAGACAAGATCTCATACTTGTTGGCTTTCAAATTTTGATTTATAGTCAAACACCTGCCAGTTATTCCTAATCTTAAGAAAACATCAATAATTCATACATATGATTATAGCTTGCAAGTGTAAAGTATGTCACTTCTGTTTTAATATATGCGAATCAGTTATTGATTGATTTGATTTCATATACGTGAAGACTGGTAATCTGGTAATAGATCGGACCTGATTTGTACACTACAAGGTTGCATAGAAGCCACCGTTTTTTTCGATGATAGGAGGAAACAACTCTCGGGAACCGAGGAACGTCTGACGGCAAGAGACAATAGATCCAAAATTATACTCACCCAACCAAACCGGTAGAACCAATGCCGAAGAATCTATCAGTTGGAAAGGCGGGCCAACAATCCGAGAGCACTGACCCATCCAGACACATCATGAGCGATAATTAGCTAGGGTGGGTATTT